GCCAAAACGCACAGCTGCTGCCGCAAAATTTCGACAGCGCATCCACGCCACCGCCGAAAAACCCAGCTGCCGCCGCAAAATTTCGGCAGCGCTTCCGCATCATCGCCGAAAAGCATAGCCGCCACCGCAGAATTTCGGGATCGCTTCCGCGTCACCGCCAAAATGCACAGCTGCTGCCGCCAAATTTCGGCAGCGCTTCCACGCCACCGCCAAAAAAAGCACAGCCACCATGCCCAGCGGATAGTACCTCCCCTACACACTTTTCAAAAATGGATGCCGCCGCCGAAAGAGTCACGCAGCATCTCCCCTATACTCTTCAGTCTACCAAGGTGGTGGCCATGGCAGCCTCCACCTCCACCTCTCACTCCCTCTTGCAGACCTCCTCCTTCGCCAACAGCAGCTCCTCTCAGCTCCTCCTACTCCACCAGCAGTTCCCCCTCCAACAGCCAGCATTTACCAAGCGTAATGCCAGCAGCACCAGCCACAAATGAATGCTGGCTGGCTGGATGCTGGCTTGTTTTATAGCTGGCTGGAGGCTAAGGGCAGTTGCTTTGCCCCCAGCCAAAACTCGGAGTCAGGCCTGGCCCTTGATCTCAGACGAGATCAAGGGTTGAGAAACTTGATGTTCCCTTACGGGAACCGAGTTCCAGGCCTTGGTAATGCATCTGGCCGCCACTCCCGGCCAGACGCAGCCCTAAATGGCTGTATAGAGCCAAGTAAAGCAGACTGTTGAAATCCAACAGTCTGCTGTCAACTTAGGGCCCAGAAGCTTCTACCCCCTGCATCTGGACCCGCGTCGCGATTAGATTCGCGACTCCCCCTTTTTTTTTCTTTGTTTTCTTTTCTTTTTGACCCCCCTCCTCTTCGTTTTTCTCTGTGAGGGTGGCAACCCATCCCTCAAAAATGAACGGGCGCCCCTCTGTCGTTTCACAGAGTCAAACTAGAGTCAAGCTCAACAGGGTCTTCTTTCCTACTGCCCTCACGCGCCCGTACCGGGACACCTACAGCGCCAGGTGCAGGCGGCGGTCTGCAGCCCGTTGCTCAACCAACGGGCGCAGGTAAGTGGGCTTCTCTCTCTCTCTCTCTCTCTCTCTCTCTCTCTCTCTCTCTCTCTCTCTCTCTCTCTCTCTCTCTCTCTCTCTCTCTCTCTCTCTCTGAACTTAGCCGCTTAGGGTGGCAGATGCATTTGCCCATCCGTAGATGGGCTGTCGACGTTCAACCTCCTGATGAGTCGGTGGAAGTCCGATGAAACAGCCTGTCTTAGTCATGCTTTTCTTTCCTGCCCGTTCGTCCGAAACGAACGGGCACACAATCTCTCAAAAAAAGAAAAGAAAAAGACAAAAAAAGGATCTAGACAAAATCTAAAAAAAAAATCTAACTGAGTCTAAAAAGAAAGAAAAAAAACTCACCTAAATCGTGGCTGCCCGTTTCTAACGGGCGCCTGTCACATTAGCTGGGGACTAAAGTGCCCCTGTCACTTCATATGGCGCTCCACGTTAGTTTAGTTTTAGTTTTTTTTTTTTTTTTGTTCCGTTGGCATAAGCCAACGGTTGTGTCATCATGTGGCTGAAAGCCACGATATGACCCCGAATGTGGGGGGTGTTCCCACCGGCGGGGAGGATCGGATCGACTGTCCGAATCTGGACAGGTTTGCGAAGACATGCAAGAAGTCGAGATTGAACCGCTTTCCAGAATCTCTGCTTAAAACACACCCAGATTCAGGAGCTCGATCCTGCCCTTTTTGTTAGTGGGGCTTCAACCTTTAGAGACCCTCGTCCTCTTTTTCTCCTTTTTTTTTTCTCCAAATAAATTCAAAATTAAA